CCCGATTTATCCGATTCCAGGTTATTTCTGTGTCACGGTTTATTGAGTGTTACAGCCTGCTAAGCGATGGGGAGAGACCCGGGAGGACGGTCCCATAGGCGGCACCCGGGGGCGGTCAGGGAAAGGTGCGGCACGCAGCTACAAACCCGGCCCACCCCGCGGAAGGACGGGGGCTCTGCACTCGTCTCTGGTCTCACAAATGAACTCTGCAATAAATTATCTTAAATAGAAGACTGGGGGAGACTTCCCTAGGACCGCGAGGAGTACGTGTGCGGACACAATAAGCGTGTTTCACGCTGTCTGCTCTCCAGGGATGGGCCACAGCCCACCCTGATGCAGCATTTCCATGTTGAGTGCTGGTAAAAAAGGTACTTGGAAGCAAACCAGCAGCAAAAGCTCTTTCACTGGTTCAGTTAAACCAAATTACTAATAGTGTAGAATATTAAATAATGTGTTTTATTACTGCTAGTATTTAGAAGTATCTTACAACAGATACAGTCCGTCATTACAATCCCTAAACACTAAGACAGAAGGCCCAAGGCTGCCCCTCGACACTTCAACGACGAAGGGGGAGCCTTTCGATTTCAGTCTTAACATTTGTAGTAAGGAGAGAGAAGGGAAGAAGGGTCAAGCCTGACCTGGAGAAGTGCTCTAACTGGAAAAGCTGTGATTTCTCCTTTGCTGGTAGTTTATGGCAACAGTCTGGAGGTAGAAGTTACACAGGATGCTGTTCTGAGCTGGTGCTACTCCTCCCTCGGCCCATCCACATCCTCCCTTCTCTAAGGCAACCGGCTAACATCTTCAAGGTTGAATATAGTATTTGTTTTTTTCATTTCTTCATAGATTCTGGTGGATTATGCATTTCCTCTCAAGTGCTGAGCCTGGAAGGAGCACTGAAGATCAGAGGCAGAATGGAGGGGAAACCCAGCCAAGGCTGGATCCTTGCTTTCTTCTTGACTCCAAGATAAACTCGATTTGAGTATCACAGTCTGCAAGATGCCTGGGACACTTTGGAATTGGTTCGTCTGTTGAGAGCACTGCAAATAAACGTGCCTGTGTCCATCAGCTTCTGCAAATCCACACCCTTCACGGGAAAAAAAAAGATACAACATGCCTTGGTACCAGTTCTGCCACGTAAAGCTGCCCAGTAACAACTGGCATAACTGGGAGAGATGAGCAGGGGGTGAGGGAGCCTTTAAAGGGTACTTTAATGAGGCCCTGAGCGCTTGCTGCTCGCTGGTGTAATTCTGAGAGTGAGGGTTCAAATTGCAGAGCGTGGAAAAAGGGAGAGGAGGCAATGGGCCTGGCTGTGGGGGTGGGCCTGGCGTGGCAAGACAAGGCCCACAGGCTCGGCCTGCCTGACCTGCACGACAGAGCCAGAGCCATCCTCCAGCTGTACCGGCTACGCTCGGGCTCCCTGGGCCTAATCTCGAACCCCTGCTGAAGCCTGAACCTGGCAAAGGCTGCTCGTGCTTACCGTGTGGATGCCCAGGCCGTTCAGCATGTACACCAAGTCCTCTGTAGCAACGTTTCCTGAAGCTCCTTGGGCGTAGGGGCAGCCTCCGAGGCCAGCGACGGAAGCATCGACCACGCTCACACCCATCTGCAAACAAACCCACTATCAGTAAATTCCTCTTAAAGGACAAACTGTGGTGGTCCTGCTCCTCAAATCACAGAATCCCAGAATCATCTGGGAAAAGCCCTTGCAGCTCCTCCAGTCCAACCATGACCCTCCCCCTGACCGTTCCCAACTCCCCCAGATCCCTCAGCGCTGGCTCAGCCCGACTCTTCAACCCCTCCAGGGATCCCGGGGACTCCCCCCTGCCCTGGGCAGCCCATTCCAACGCCCAACAGCCCCTTCTGCACAGAAATCCTTCCTCAGAGCCAGTCTAAGCGGTTTTGAATCTACGGTCCACAAGCAAGAGGTGAAAAAACCCCCCAAACCAAAACCAAGGAAAGATGCTTTTCTTCAAAGCAAAAATCTTACCTGAAGTGCCACCAGGATGTTGGCAAGAGCTTGCCCGTAGGTATCGTGGCAGTGAACTGCAAGAGCCCCCACTGGCACCTCTTTCATGACTGTTGTCAGCATCTCCTTCATGCTCCCTGGGGTCCCAATGCCAATGGTGTCACCGAGGGAAATCTCGTAGCATCCCATCGAGTACATCTTCTTTGAGACCTGTCCAAAAGCCAAGACACTTACTAAAAAGGTGGCTTTGTCATTCCCTTCCCCAGAGCTGGAGACCTGCTGCACGGAGGGATCAGTGCATGCTTCCCTGGAGCACAACAGCCACAGGGACAATAGCCAGGAGAGTTTTCTCTGGGATCACCAATCTCCAGGTCCCCACACCTCCCTGAATTCCCCGTCCATCTCAGCTGGACTCAGTCCCCCCTCGCTGGGGTGGCACCCAGCTGTAACCTTCCCCAGTTTCCCCCCAGTCTTTGGTTAAATGGTTTGACACATCCTTCAGCCCCCTGTGCCCAACTCACAGCCATAAAAGTGAGCCAAACACCTCTCAGAAATTCTGGTGGTGTTTATGGTGAACTCACCTCTGCAACTTTAGCTGCAGAAATCTTCCCTTCGTAGGGACATCCAAGGACACAGGAAACGTATCTATGGTTAAAAAAAAATACACTTTTAGCTACAGAACTGAAGTGAGATTATACTAGCTAAAGTCATCAGGACTTGTGCTGCATCTTGCATGCTCTATACAATGAAAGAATTATTTTCATATTCTAAAAATCAGTCCAATGGACTCAGCTTACATAATTAACGATTCAACAATTACTTTTTCTACGGACATGAAGAATTTGCCCAGACGAGAACGCACGGGACTGTTAGGTTTGTGGATTTATGTACTTTCATGTGAAATGTTTGCCAAGAAGCTACTGCTATTTTGGATCATTTGGTAAAGCTCAAGTCAGAATAATTACACAAAGGGGGAAACTGTCAGGAGTGGTACAGGCCACCATCTGAAATGTCGTTAGTGTGGCGGTGTTTCCAAATTTAACACTTCTCAATGCACTGAGCTCACATCTGCTTGCACCCTTTCACGTAGAGAGACACTCCCCCTCCCAAAAAGGTAAAGTTTAAAAGAAATCCCACTCCCTAGCACTGCACGGGATGGACTCCTAAGAGATAAACTCAAGCAGCCACATCTCTCCACGCGACCTGTTCGATGGTTAAATTTGCAGCAGGAACTTCTTACCCCCGGACAGGAATGCTGGCTGCTCTCGCCGCAGCCATCACTTCATCAAATCTCTCCAAACTCTCCTCTATGGAGCAGTTGATGTTTTTCTTAGTGAAGAGCTCAGAGGCTGCTCCAAAGATTGACACTTCTTTGGCCCCTGCTGCCACCTGCCAAAAGAGAGTATAAATTAACGTGAGCTGATTTCTCCTGCAGGGGAAATGACAAACGCAACCATGAAAACAGTTCTCTCGTTCTATAAAAAATATTTTTTCCCCAGTTCTTCCCTGAATAACCCAATCATTTTTTTCCATTCATTCTACAGCAAAAACATGATGACACATCCAAGTTAATCTTCAAAAGAAGCATAAAGTTACAGATGCAGCAGTAAAGCTACATCCGCTGGGTGCAGTCAGGAGAGCTGTGGGACACGCAGATAAGACTGAAAGCATCACTGTCACAAATTTATTTTTTTTTACAACAGAAAAAATATCAAGGTATTTTCTATTATAAACAGCAGGTTTCTATTTCACCTGCAAAACAATTCCTTGTAAAGGAACTA